TGGGTTCTCTCCCTGGCTCTGGGAGGGGAGTGGGGGCTGGCGGGTTAGAGCCAGAATTCCTGGGTTCTCCTGCCCCCCCAGCTCCGGGAGCGGTCAGGTGCCCAGGGCTGCAGCGGCCACATGCCCAAGTGTTTATTCTGTTGCAACCACATCCCATCACAGGGACCTTCCCAACCCCCAGGGCCACCCCACCCCCACCCCGAAGCCACGCCCAAAGAGGGAGGGGGCGGGGCCTCAGGCAAGGAGGGGGCCTCGATCCCCCCACCCTCATGTGCGACCCCAGTGTGGGGGACAGGGAAGTGCCCGGACTCACCTGCGTCTCCGCTTTGAGGTTTGGGGGTGGATCTGGAAAATAAAGGGGGGGCGGGTAAGTTTGGGGGGTTCTCACCCCTTCCCCCTAATAAGTGTGGGGTCTACAGCCTTCTTTCCCTGCCCCTTTCGCCCCCTCTTACCCCCGCCCCCAGTGTCTGGGTTCCTATCACCCCACACTTGGGGGGCGGGTCCTTTATCCCCCCCCAATACACACAACCCCTCATGTGTCCTCACACTCCATTCCCCACCCCGGGAGGCACTGACCCCAATTTCCCCCCACACACACAATGCAAAACCCTGTCCCCCCAACTCTCCTGGGGAGAGACCCCACCCCTCTCCCCACCCAGGGACACGCCCACCTCAGCCCCCTGCGACAGAGACCTTCCCCTGAGATCCCAATCCCCCAGCAGAGAGACCCCCACCAGCCTCCCCAGCCCACCCCCCACTTCTTCCTCACCAGGCCCCCAGGTAGAGACCTGGTGGGGGGGGCGCAGGGGCTGCAGAGACGATGTCCCTGGGGAGAGGAACCTACCCCTCCCCCCTCCCCAGCCAGGACCTCAGGGCGTGGCCTGGTCTCCCCCCCCCCCCGCCGACCTTCCCCAGGTTCCTCCCCCTCCAGCTCCTTGAGCCGCTTCCCCCCACCCCTTCCAATCCACTGGTACTGCCCCCTCCCAGCTCCCTCCACCCCCTTCCACTGCCAGCTCCTCCCCCACTCAGCTGCCCCACCCTCACTGACAGCTCCTCCCCTCCCCCCTGCCACCAACCAACCCCCCCACTGCTCCCTAGCACCCTCCAGCCCCATCTCCCTGCTTCTGTGGCCCCCCCTTCACAGTCCCGGC